AAAGCTTCTAAGACATTTTGTAGTAGGTACAACATAAAATGCTATCTACTCGATCGCTTAACTTTCACAACTTTTTGCAATGAATATTGTATTAAATGTGTTTTTACAAAGTTTACAATGTGCCTACATTTAGTTTAAAACGTAATTTATATTATAATAGTGAATGTCAATATGACTCGCTTATTATATAATATAATACCATATAGTACCTAAAGGATGACGTTTTGACAAACATACAGAATAAAAGTGGCGTTGTAGCTTAATATATATATGATATATATATATTTATATATATATATATACTTAACAGTTCCTTTATTTTATATATTTTTTTAAGATCAGCGTATGGTCATAATATATCTGCATATGATTGTGTTTTATACTTTTATGTAAACATGTCATTTGAGATATCCTATATTCATATTATTTGTAATTTATGCCACTTCTCGTGAATGTAWTAAATTATAATTCTGTAGATGTATTACGTTTGATATAGGAGTAAAAGTAGTTTAATTCATTTGTGTTGGCTTGTTTTCGAATTTGATTTACCTATTTTTCTGAGATATGGACCAATGCTTTTTTCTTAGATTAATAAACTTATTGTAATTTTGTCTAGAATAATTATTTTAAAAATTAAGAAAATCGTTTDATCAATCGTCGTTCAGCAGAATTTTCGAATCCCATGGTTTATCATTGTTTTTACCTACATTTATAAAAATAGTAATTCATCCTCTTATCATATTGAATTGCGATGAGTGCCTATAATACCCGGCATTTAATCTAGAACTCGAATAAATAGGTGTAAATTAAAGGGAAAGGGGATTTAGGTCTCTAAAATKTGGACCCAGAAAAGTTACCAAGTATTATATTATGTTCAATAAAAATTAACACAAAAAATATTAAATACTGTAAAATGTATAAAACTGCCTCAACATAAGTACCTTTTTTGGTAAAAAAATTTCAGGATTCTCTTTAATTTAAAAGTCTATAGTTACGTTTATACGTGTACCTATATATTTTTTGTTACCTTTTCTCTTTGGTTGAATTTCGATTAAAATGGCTTTAACATTCAAATTCCCTTTAGTATATAGGTATATTAATAAACTAGCGATAATAAGCTTAAATTAAGATGATGAGATTATAAAAATTGATGTTAGTTATTAATTATTATTTATTAATGTATAATATAATCTTGCATTCTTGCATTTAGCTGGTACACATTTTAACAATCCATAAACGCGTTTCTGTTATAAAATGTGTACATTTTGTTTTTATTTATAAACTTTTAAAATGTTAACTGATGACTACTATTTTTCTCAGTTGAAAATAATAATTAATGAACTTGTTGCTACAACCCGGTATGTACAGGAAACAGTTGCAATTGATTTACTGCAGAAGAGTACCTACTATTAATGCCTCAACCCTGAATTTAGTATTTACTTGTTTTTGTATTATTTACAAAATGGTGTTTGGTAAATTTTTGATGCAAATACGTTTATATTGTTTATTGTTTATTGTAATTATTAATTAACTAACCTTAATAACTAACACCAATTTTTATGTTGAGGCAGTTAATACATTATACACTATTTAATATTTTTTGTTTAATTTTTATTGAACATATATAATAATACTTGGTAATTTTTCTGGGTCCACATTTTAGAGACCTAAATCCCCTTTCCCTTTAATTTACACCTATTGATTCGAATTTTGGATTAAATACCGGGTATTATAAGCACTCATCGCAATTCAATATGATAAGAGGATGTATTACTATTTTTATAAATGTAGGTAAAAACAATGATAAACCATGGGATTCGAAAATTCTGCTGAACGACGATTGAT